AGAATTCGACTTGGTGCCGCTGATTTCACAATGAATCCAATACCATCCACCCTTCTGTCAGCTTCTTCCAGCATCACCTGAGTGCCACCGCCAAAATTTCCCGGCTTACGCAACTCTCCGCCTGGTTTCATTAACGACGGATGTTCCGAAGTTCGCGCAGTAGGAAGTTGACAGCCTCGTCAATGCTTAACTTTCTCACGCGCCCACACGCATAAAAATACCGGGTGACGGTCCCAATACTGCGAGATTCTCCGCACCCTCTGCACTCTCGCCAATTCCTCCACCACCATCACTGTGAAGGCGACAGAAAGTTGCGCAGGACTGAGAGCTATTTCTCTTGAACTTTTCCTTCACAGTTGCTTTGATCAATATTGCACCCCTGCTGGTCAACCTCCTGACGATCTTGACTTTGAAAGAGTTGTTGGCTCAATGATTCTCCCAACAGAGGCAATCTGACAAAGATTTAGCCGCTTGGAGCTTCATCGGTATGTGTTGAGCACTACCACCTCGTCTCCGAACGTTGCCACTCCCCGTTAATTACCAATATCAGCATAAACTTACAGTTTTATGATTAAAGACCATTCAAAGTATGATATAAAATCATCTACACATTTGTTTTTTGCTGCCTGTATAGTGCAAATATAATTTTACAGTGCTGCTTTATGTAATCTTTATAAGACGGATCTACAAACTTAGCACCTATATTGCAACTGACGCTTACTTAAACCTTAATTCAAACTTCTTCCAGTTTTGACAACTGTGGCTACTACCTACGCTTTTATTGCTAGTATTTAAGCTTTAACAAAAATAGGCAAGAGCTGTTCTTTTCCGGGCTGTTTTAAAAGAAAGCTTACGGATGTCTGAGTTTTAATAGTCTGTAAAGCGTAGATCCAGTCATTAACCACCACAACAAATCATACAGGGCTTAATTTTCCCAGCAGTCACCTTTAATTCATGAACACAGCCCATGTCACAATGTGAAATGGCAGTGGACGCCGAAGTAGGAGGGAGAAGGCACTGGCATGTAGACCGTATATTAGTTCTTTTATCGCATACGCTGGCAAGCAGTGAAATTGTTTTTGTGCTACAGGTCAAAGATTTGATCCCACCGATGGAACTTTTACAATTCGCTCATTTATTTCGATGCTGAACTAGTACTGGCGCATGCCAAGAAATACAGCTTCACCTGGTTTGCTCCTAAACAACTTTGGAGAGGAGTTTATCAATACGGTCGCCAACAGCTGGCTGCTCCTGGCAGCATCCAGGCTAATTCCATGTGTCTTCGCTTCTCGCAAAGAATGAATATACAGGGGATCTTGACTTCTGACTTCATGCCACTTATAATGTTTCTTGCATTTTACATCGCCCACTATGCTGTCCACGTCGTCCGATGCCGGTTGACCAGTATGTCACAAAAATTTACCAGCACTAAAGAAAAATCAAAATTTGAACAACTTACTTCAGCGACACTTTTCTTGAAGACTTGTATATCAGAGGCGACTGAATTCAAGCACTCGCCTTCGCCTTTGATTTCAATCTTATCACCCTTTTTCAGCTTGCCCTGTTCTATTGTCCCAACGATAACTGTTCCCCTTCCGGTGATCGACACTCGCGATGCCACAGGCATTAAAAACGGTTCATCCTAAAAACAAGACGATTTCAAAATATGATGTGCTATCACTCAATACCCTCGAAATCTTTTACACCAGCACGGAATTCTCGAACAAATGGGTTTGAGTGAAAAATGTGAATGAACAACTTGCAGCCTCTTCGGAAGAGGAATGGCGTCCAGTGCAGAAATCAGCTTTTCAATACACTCTTCATCATCGTCGTGCAGAGCCTTCAATGCCGAACCTTTTACAACAACCACTGATTCGTCTGCAATGACTTTTACAAGCACACAAACACAGACAACTGATACACTACTATTTTCTGCTTCTAAATCGTAAGTGTCAGCGCTGCTTGTTTCTTCTTCGCAACCATTAATTTCATTAATTTTTCACATTTACATCAATTTTTAAACGTGCAATTGGTACAGTACCATTTCCCGCTGTTTCAAATACTTTCTTTATACATTCACATCAACGCAATTATGCGGCCATAACAACATTATTGCCAATTTCTTCTTCACATGTACTAGTTTCACCAGTTTTTATACAATTACACCGTCACACATATGTCATTAGTATGCTGGCATTGCAAACCCCCACATTTTTATTAATTTCAGCAGTCTTTATACATTTATATCGACACATATGTGCCACTGGTTTATAAAGGCTGCTGATTTCTTCATATGTACTAGCTTCGATAATTTTTATACACCGACACAGACACATAACAGAAGCACACACACACATACATACATACATACACAAGCGCACACGCACACATGCATAATTGGTCCAAGCAAGCACTGCCATCTTCCACAAATGTGTTGACTTCGAGAATCATTTTTTCGCTTTTTTCAATCTCTGCTATTGTGTTCTAACTATCGTTATATCTGCAAGCAATAATTTCATTATTACTTGTCAAAGAAGAGGTCTGAAAAGCCAACCTTTATACCCATGTTGTTCCAATAATTCGCGTGCTTCGATTTCTACCAGCGTCGCGACATCATCGTCCACCAGATCAATTTTATTCACGAACACAACAATATTGCTAACACCCACCTGTTTCGCCAGTAAAACATGCTCTTTTGTTTGTGCCATCACACCATCAGTGGCAGCAATCACTAAAAAAGTTAAAACCGGTACACTTTTTCAATGAATTAAGGGTCTTAAAACAAATATGTTTGTATTTAACATGCCTAAACCACCATTTGTAACAAAAATACCAGAGCTGCATCTTATATACCGTAATCTGCCTCTCAAACTGTATGATTTTCTTCGATTCTGACGGCGTGTCAAAGGATTTTTATAATCCCGTGTGAAATGCACAAACCAGAAACCTTAGCTTCAGCTTAAGAGCCCAAAAAGAATCAATATGAAGCAGTTGCGGTAAGAAACTGAGATCTCACGCTTTTTATATGCACAATTTAAAAGACTACTTTCTATTCAAATACATGTATGGATGTGTTTTATACATTTAAATGTATGTATGAAAGCAGGTGCCTAGGTAGTTCTGTATTGGGGAGCATGAAATTGGGAAGTTGAGGGTTCGGCATGGACCAAAACTTTGCGCAGGGCTAAAATCTCGAAAAAGTTTCAAGTCCTTTGTTTGAAAAGAGAATGAGAGAAAAAAAGCAGTAAAATGTCTCTGCGACGTATAGGCGTACGAAATCCAGAAAAAAAGAGAAATAGCAACGCGCACCAGATTAGCCGGTGCGATTATGCGTTTTGTGCAATTGAGCCCATCAAATGATTGCCTATTAATCATTTTCACTGCTTTCTACTTTTGTTTATGCAAAAACACAAACATTGGAAAACAGTTAAAGATTTCACGCACCAGCGCATGAAAGCTGAATTCGAAACCTTGAAGAGTGAATATCTTTCAGTTAAAAATTTCACGCACCAGCGCATGAAAGCTGAATTCGAAACCTTGAAGGGTGAATATCTTTCTGTGATTCTCCGCGTTAATAGTTACCCGCCAAAATTCTAACGAGGCCGTAGGTGATACTCAAGAGCGGGGGAACGCAGAATTTGAATAGGCAAGGTTGAGCATGGGCAGGGGGTTATTACCCTAAAATTTCAGCTTCCTAGACCCCGTGGTTCCCGAGATAATAATTTACCCGCAAAAATTTCACTAGCCCGTAGGCGATACCCGAGAGCGCTGGGACGCTGAACTTGAATGGGCAAGGTTGGGCGTGGGCAGGGGGTCACTGCCCTAAAATTTCAGCCTCCTAGACTCTGCGGTTCCTAAGATATTAATTTTAAAAAACTTTCACGGGGACGTACA